AGTAGCAAAAATAAAAAATGTTACTTTTTGAGTTGCTAAATTAACTTTTAATGTTGGAGATGTTTTCATTATAGTAACTTTTATAAATACTTTATAACTTTTTTTCTCTCCTATCAGTTCCTGCCTCTCTTGTTCATTCTCTTTCTTTTCCTCCATTCTCTCTCTCCAACAATCACAATAAAGGTACAGAATATGTGGAATAATATTTAAAAAAAGTAGTTAAAATATAAATAATTTGTTCGAGTGTATTAAAAAAGTGAGTAACTAAAATAAAAAAAGTGTACTTTTAAATAGTTAAAATACAAATCCTTGTTGGAGATGCACTTATAGGTAAATCTAAGTTCTCTTTTGTAGAACAAAGATGCTAGTGGAATTTTTTTATAAAAATTGCTTCATAAGGGATTTCATAAACTGATTTTTTGAGGCTTAAGATGGAGAGATAATAATATGGTTTCAATCCTACAAGATTATTATAATGCATAGGTTAATTACAAATTTCCCCTCAATCATGGGTGTTATTGTAATTAACTACCTCAGGTTATAATTTTAACAAATTGTCCCCTCAAAGTTTCAATTGGATTAAATTAACAAAACAAAACTAACTAAAATGTGAAAGTACAATTCTTTTCTTGCCTTGAACTCCAATCCACTCAACCCCAAAGCAGAGAAAGAATAATTTGAAGGGAAAAAACTCATTGGTGTGTGGCGTCGATTGTGGTGACAATGACGCTAGGTGGTTATTGTGGAGCAATGGGGATGAAGGTGTCTATGGGTTGTGGCTTATGGTGATGGCCTGAAAAGGTCTGCAACGGGTCATTGGGATTCAACTCGGCTTTAATAAGGGAGGTTTCATTGTTAGAGAGAGAGAGAGAAAAAAAAAAGATTGATTTGTGGGTGAAAGGGGTTCATAGGAGATTCACCGTTATAGATAGAGAAACAAATCTACTAGTGATGAGGGTTCACAAGACCATTAGAGAGAGAGAAATCTATGAGTGTTGGGTTTCTTAGTGGAGTTTTTATTGTGTATGTATGTGTGTGTGTGAGAGAGAGAGAGAAAGGGAGAGAGGGAACAAAGATCTACGAGTAAGGGAGTTTCACAGGGAAGGTTTCACTATAGATAGAGAAAGAAGAAAGAGATCTGAAAGTAGGGGAATTCACTTCCATTAGAGATAAGAGTGTGAAAAATAAGTGTTACGACATTGGGGAAGAAAAGGAAGATGAGGGGGGCTACAGTGATTAGGGTTTAACAATGAATTGGGGGAAAATCTAAAAAAGGGTAATTTTGCCATTTTAGCTATGTGGTGATCACTTGTTTTTCACGTGGCTATTATCTGCCTTTTTTTACGACTAAAAACTAATGGAAAGAGTTAATTGACAATTATTGAAAACTAAAAGGGGCAAATTACTGTATTTGAAACTTTAGGGAGTTAATTGTAAAAGTAACCCCCAGTTAAAAGGGGTAATTTGTAATTAATCCTATTATTTATTATGGTTTTTTTAATACAGAAATGCAGCCTTTTATTTCTTGTTTTCACTTATGGTTCGTTTGGTAGAAAGGATGGAAAGTATGATGGATATATTTTCTATCCTTCATGGATGGAAAGTAGGAATGATACACTTTCTTTCCTTTGTGTTTGGGTTGGATGGATGAAAAATAAAAATAACTATTTTTTTTTTATTTTTTTTGTGCTGGCTAAGATTAGGGGTGATAATCGAGTCATGTTGTATCAGATTCGTGTTGAATCATAAAATTATGAGTTTTTTATATTTTTTGTTTGCGCATCAGATTATTTTCAAGTTCGTGTCGAGTTATAATCAAATTCGTGTCGGGTTATAATCAAAAATATGTCATAAAATTCGTATTAAATTCGAGTCGTGTTATTGTGTTAAGTCAAAAATTTTCAATCCTAGTCAAGATGAAAAAAATATTTTTTTAATTTAAAATTTAAAATTATTATTTTATTTATTTTATATATATATATATATATATATATATATATATATATGTGTGTGTATTATTATATAAATCTTTAAATGCTTTAATTCTTCATACTCACACTTGAATAACAGCTGTGTATATTTATTGGTGTAAAAAGTGAGTGCACCGGTTGATTTGAGCTATCACTTGTAGGAATGGAAAATGAAAGCTTTCTTTTGATACATTTATTCAAGTTTAATGTACTAAGAACCAAATGTTCAATGTGCATTAAATATATCATATGCTAAAACTTGAAAATAGATATTTCATCTTTCCATATTCACGCTAGACACAAAGAAAAATGCTACATAACCTAAATGAAACCCAAAAATTAAAACCCAAAAGCATATTATCGTCTAGATGAGTGTGGGATGATTAGGCCCCATTTAAAAAATTGATNTATATATATATATATATATATATATATATATATATATATATATATATATATATATATATAAATACATATATAAATACATATTTTATCAATGTATTTTTATATGAAATTAATGTATGCATAATATATAGATAACTAAGATACATCTTAACACAAATAATTAACATAATATATAGACAAATAAGATGCATGTTAACACAAATAATTAACTGTTAATTCACTTTCCTTCCGATTTTAGAAGGATTGTTTTTGGTGAGTTGGAAAAAAAGTTAATTCATTCACTTTTCCATTCTTCTTGTTTTCCTTCCTTACCAAACATAATGTTTTATTTATCTTTCCAACTTTTCATCCTTCCATTTTTTCCATCATACCAAACAGAGCATTAAGGTTAAGCTTAAGCTTAGTTAGGGATCCTATATTTTTGGCTAGACTTGTCAATCGTGTCTGGTGAAGCAAGTTCATATCGAGTCTTACAAGTTTGTATGAAAAAACACTCCGCCCATACTTGATTTGTTTACTACTTCATATTTAACGAATTTTTTATATCGGGTCCGTGTCGTATATGAATCGTGTAGAACCGGTATATAAATGAGTTGTGTAATTTATTTATTTTTATTGACTTCAACCATATCATATTCGTTTATTAATTGTTGCATATAATATCCACTCATTTCGAACACAAATGTTCTAAAGATGATTCAAATTTTCTAATTTTTTATCATGTTCAAACCGTATTAACGGATCGTATCATATTTTAATATCCTTACCTTATGCCCTTTGGCACAATTTTCATATGCGAGCTTCTCCAAAAATTTATTGTGAGGGCCATGAAAGATTGTAGAAGACTCAATAATTGTAGCAATTGTTGCCTCGAAAAAAGGAAAAAGAAGAGGGGGAAAAAAACAAAAATCATTATGATGCTTCATTTTTTTCATAATACACACCCCGATCATTATTACAATGATCAATCAACTACAATAATTTAGAACAATATTTCTATCATCAGAGAAGAAAACACCACAATGAGTGAAGGAAAGCCCGGAAGAGGGGCATAATTGAACCTCAAAGAGTGGTCATGAGTTTTATAAAAACTGGACCTTCTTAGTCCAATCTTTCAATAACAATTTCCTAGAACGATCAAATGAATCTTATTCTCTCTTTCCTATAACTTCAAGAACAGTTAATTATTCCAATGGTAAGCTAAATTTTCTATGCCAAATAAAGGTATTGGGAAAATGAATTTTGTTTAATTTTTTTAGTAGGAAATTAATATGAAGTTTTTTTTTTCCCGGTAAATAATATGAAATAACTAAATAATGAAATGGTTACTAAACATATTTTCTCTTGTAATTTTCATATATTTCTTAAACAAAAATTGCAACCAAAGAATTTTTTTTAATGTTTTACCAAATAAAAAACAAAAATTAATTATTTTTATTTTTATTTTTTTAAATAAATAAAAAACTGATAATGTTTTCAAACACGCTCCAAGATGAAATGGCAAGAAAGCAAAGTAAGGTAAGGAGTTTTAAAATTTTTAATTTTTTTGTACGATTGAATCGCGTTTAAATGTTGGGCGATAGTGTATCTTTATACTTTACAATAACATTTATCAATCTTGGGAACCATTCTTATTTGCAAAATCCTAACTTACACTTTTTTACATCAATCAAAGGTAGATAGTGCATACGCTGACACAAAAAAAAGAAAAGAAAAAGAATTGATAGATTGTACATACACACAATTTTTTTTTGGTGCAATGAAAGGTAGATAGTACATACATTCTAAACGCTAATGGAAGACACTCTGGCCAACTCTAGGCCTAGTTTTGAAGGGAATGACCAACTCCGGGGCTGTGACCTGGTGCCGTAGGTCGGAAGTCATCCACATGACCTGGTGGAGGTGGTGACGGCGGTGGAGACCCGGCTGCTGCCGGACTTGCTGGCATTGGTGCCATCNTCTTTCCTATAACTTCAAGAACAGTTAATTATTCCAATGGTAAGCTAAATTTTCTATGCCAAATAAAGGTATTGGGAAAATGAATTTTGTTTAATTTTTTTAGTAGGAAATTAATATGAAGTTTTTTTTTTCCCGGTAAATAATATGAAATAACTAAATAATGAAATGGTTACTAAACATATTTTCTCTTGTAATTTTCATATATTTCTTAAACAAAAATTGCAACCAAAGAATTTTTTTTAATGTTTTACCAAATAAAAAACAAAAATTAATTATTTTTATTTTTATTTTTTTAAATAAATAAAAAACTGATAATGTTTTCAAACACGCTCCAAGATGAAATGGCAAGAAAGCAAAGTAAGGTAAGGAGTTTTAAAATTTTTAATTTTTTTGTACGATTGAATCGCGTTTAAATGTTGGGCGATAGTGTATCTTTATACTTTACAATAACATTTATCAATCTTGGGAACCATTCTTATTTGCAAAATCCTAACTTACACTTTTTTACATCAATCAAAGGTAGATAGTGCATACGCTGACACAAAAAAAAGAAAAGAAAAAGAATTGATAGATTGTACATACACACAATTTTTTTTTGGTGCAATGAAAGGTAGATAGTACATACATTCTAAACGCTAATGGAAGACACTCTGGCCAACTCTAGGCCTAGTTTTGAAGGGAATGACCAACTCCGGGGCTGTGACCTGGTGCCGTAGGTCGGAAGTCATCCACATGACCTGGTGGAGGTGGTGACGGCGGTGGAGACCCGGCTACTGCCGGACTTGCTGGCATTGGTGCCATCAGTGGTGTCATTGGTGCTGCAGGTACAGCGTCAGCTGCATATGCTGCTTTGTTTGTTCTGTCACCGTGCAACTTGATACTGTGTTCATGAGCAATTTTTGTTATGGTCTCTTTCTCAGAGATCTTTGTGTGAGTTTGGAAGTTAGGGAATTCATTTTTATAATCTATCTGCAACTGCCTTCCCTCACTGAACAGAATTTTATGGGTTAAAATCAGCATGAGAGAAAGACTGGAAAGGATTAGCTTTGTTTGAGCCATGAGAGAGAGAGAGAGAGAGAGAGATGCAATTAAGCAAGCAAGGTGCTCAAAGCTCAGAGAAAGAGAGATATACGATTAAGCAAGCAAGGTGCTCAAAGCTCGTTGTAACCTTCGGTATTTATAGGCATGTGAGGCTTCTTGGAATCTTTGGTCNGAAGAGGGGCATAATTGAACCTCAAAGAGTGGTCATGAGTTTTATAAAAACTGGACCTTCTTAGTCCAATCTTTCAATAACAATTTCCTAGAACGATCAAATGAATCTTATTCTCTCTTTCCTATAACTTCAAGAACAGTTAATTATTCCAATGGTAAGCTAAATTTTCTATGCCAAATAAAGGTATTGGGAAAATGAATTTTGTTTAATTTTTTTAGTAGGAAATTAATATGAAGTTTTTTTTTTCCCGGTAAATAATATGAAATAACTAAATAATGAAATGGTTACTAAACATATTTTCTCTTGTAATTTTCATATATTTCTTAAACAAAAATTGCAACCAAAGAATTTTTTTTAATGTTTTACCAAATAAAAAACAAAAATTAATTATTTTTATTTTTATTTTTTTAAATAAATAAAAAACTGATAATGTTTTCAAACACGCTCCAAGATGAAATGGCAAGAAAGCAAAGTAAGGTAAGGAGTTTTAAAATTTTTAATTTTTTTGTACGATTGAATCGCGTTTAAATGTTGGGCGATAGTGTATCTTTATACTTTACAATAACATTTATCAATCTTGGGAACCATTCTTATTTGCAAAATCCTAACTTACACTTTTTTACATCAATCAAAGGTAGATAGTGCATACGCTGACACAAAAAAAAGAAAAGAAAAAGAATTGATAGATTGTACATACACACAATTTTTTTTTGGTGCAATGAAAGGTAGATAGTACATACATTCTAAACGCTAATGGAAGACACTCTGGCCAACTCTAGGCCTAGTTTTGAAGGGAATGACCAACTCCGGGGCTGTGACCTGGTGCCGTGGGTCGGAAGTCATCCACATGACCTGGTGGAGGTGGTGGCGGCGGTGGAGACCCGGCTGCTGCCGGACTTGCTGGCATTGGTGCCACCAGTGGTGTCATTGGTGCTGCAGGTACAGCGTCAGCTGCATATGCTGCTTTGTTTGTTCTGTCACCGTGCAAGTTGATACTGTGTTCATGAGCAATTTTTGTTATGGTCTCTTTCTCAGAGATCTTTGTGTGAGTTTGGAAGTTAGGGAATTCATTTTTATAATCTATCTGCAACTGCCTTCCCTCACTGAACAGAATTTTATGGGTTAAAATCAGCATGAGAGAAAGACTGGAAAGGATTAGCTTTGTTTGAGCCATGAGAGAGAGAGAGAGAGAGAGAGAGAGAGAGAGAGATGCAATTAAGCAAGCAAGGTGCTCAAAGCTCGTTGTAACCTTCGGTATTTATAGGCATGTGAGGCTTCTTGGAATCTTTGGTCCTTAACAGTTGGAGATACTTTGGAATCTAATTAGAGAAACAACTGCACTATCATCAATAGATTTATTGGAACGATATACTAACCAAATTTTAGGATCAAATTTAAATCTCAAATGACATAGCAGTTGATTATTTGAAGCTTTTATTGGGGTCAAAATGACATGACATCAATCAAAGAAGTTTAAATCAATTACTATTTCATTTGGGCTCTAAATTTAGTCCCAAAATTTGATCAATCTAGCATTGCTATTAAATTTAAAGTAACCCGAAGGGCAACTTAAGTAATCATAGAAACAAGCTGTCACATGTATGAGTTTGAATATTTGAGGTTAGGTCATGAAAAAATTTATCTCTCATGAATACTTTAATCTTAATGTAACTGGTCTGTCTTTGACCTGACCGAAGAAGAAATTAGTTAAGATGTGCGTAAACTAATTCTAACATCTCTAACGGTTGAAAAAAAAAATTCAATAAATTTATAGTGTGCCTCAAAAATAAAATGGGTTCAGCTTTCAATTTAAGAGTAGTAATACATTACATTCTCAAATTAATATCCAAATAAGTAAAAGTAATATTATTTTAGAGAATAATAAGGACGGTGGAGTTTTTTAGTATATCTCTGAAACCATGGGTATGTTAGTGCATAGCTTTCGACGGCTAGTGGCCTACAATAAGACTTTCAACAACTTGTCTACAGCAAGCCCATGCAACTTTCATGTTTTTTCTCCTTTCTGCTTTTCAATGTGAAACAGTGTTCCAGTGCGGAAGGTAAACACAGATTTCTTTGTTGATAAAACTTACGATTAATACTATATTTTTTTAAAGTATATATTTTTTATCAGTTTAATCTTCATTGTATTTATTTTATTAATTTGATCTCTGAAGTATTCAATTCGTATCACTTTAGTCTCTAATCAGACAATCCTTTAAGTTTTTTCAATTATAGAAGTGATCATTTATCATTTTTTTAGATAGTATCACATACGCAACACGTAATCATTCTGTCAAAATATAACGATCCGTTTATCTACGAACCAAAATGACACGAAGGTTGAATTTGTGGCCGGAACCTTTTGGCAAGGAAGTCATGACAAGGCTCCTGCATGGACATAGGGGGCCATCATTTTGACAAAATGAGTAGAAAGTGTGATGGGCATAGGTCGCCTACATGTGGATTACGCAAGGAAAAATGGGCTCAGTTGTGGATGCGCAGTCCAGGTGCATATTTGCACTAATATGAAGCTTTGTCTATTTCTTCTATGAATTCCCTATATAAATGGAGGTCCTGGCAGAAGTTAAACATAAGAAAATTAAGAACTCAAACATTTAAGAGTTGTGAGTTCTCGTGAGTGATATCAGATATCAATTTGAGTGTTCTCAAATCTTTGAGTGATAATAGTGAGATATCAAAGTGATCCTCTTTTGTTAGAGCGTGTACTTATGAGGTTGGAAATAATTGTTCTTGTGCTCTTTGTTTGCTCCAAATAGTGAAAACATCCGAACATTGCTATTGTGGACGTAGACAATTATCGAACCACATAAATTGCTTTGTCTAGTGTGATTGTTCTCTTTTTTTTTCACTTTAGTGTGAGTGTTAGTATCGATTAAATTCGATTCTCGTGGTAATTTCTACAACAAATTGTTATCAGAGCCAGTACCAATTCTATTATTATTTATATGCAAGTACTGTTCATATAGTACAGTATATACAAGGTACTATTCATTAGTATAGTATATGATTACTATTCATCACTAGTATTCACGAGTACTATTTATATAGTTTTACTCAAGGAATAATAATTGTCTGCACTGATTTTTTTTTTTTTTGACCTCAACAGATCAAGTTTTAAAGTCCTGGTGATGAGATGGAGAAATTTGATGGAAGAACAATTTTGGAATTTGGCAACTCCAAGTCAAAGATGTCCTAATCCAACAGTGACTACACAAAGCATTGGAAGATAAACCTAAAGATGTGGATGACGATGAATGGAAGGAATACGATCTCCAAGCATGTAGCACCATCCGGTTGTGTTTGAAAAAGAGATTATGTACAACGTCATGCAAGAGAAATCGACTGCATAGATTTAATTGAAATTGGAAAGCCTCTACATGAAGAAGTCTCTTACCAACTGATTGTACCTAAAGCAACAAATCTATACATTTTGTATGAAGGAACATACAATCATGCATGAGCATCTTAACGAGTTTAGTAGAATTGTCTCTGAACAACTAAACATGGACGTTAAGTTGGGAGATGAAGACAAAGCCATGATATTGTTGTACTCACTACCCAATTTGTACAAGCATCTAGTCACCACATTACTCTTCGGGAAGGATATCATTGAGTTCGATGATATTGCTTCATCACTTCTTTCTAATGAGCTTTGAAGAAGACTCCTAGCACCGACTCTTAGGCGAAGGTTCGATTTTTCAGAGAGAGGATGGAGAACAGAAATCTAGGAAGTATCAGATCTCAATCTAAATCCAAATTTAAACATCGAAAGAATTTTTAACGACACTATTGTCATAAGAAGGGGCACAGGAAAGCTAATTGTTCGAAGCGTAAAGCTAAGGATCAAAACTATAAAGATAAAGTGTATGACACTATTAGTGTGGCTAAAAATAATTTGGATAATGCCAAAAATAATATGTCAGTTTTGCCTCACAATATAAGTGTGTTAGATGGGTGGATTCTTGATTATGGTTGATTATATCATATGTGTCCCAACAGGAACTGGTTTTTCTTCCAATAAGGAAGTGAACGGTGGCACTGTTTTGATGGGCAACAACATGGCCTGTAAAATAGTTGGGGTAGAAAGTATTAGAATTAAGATGCACAATAGAATTGTGAGAACTTTGACAGCAATTAGACATGTTCCTGAGTTGAAGAAGAACCTTATCTCATTGGTTGCACTAGACTCCAATAGGTGCAAGATTGTGGTCCAAGGTGGAGTTATGAAATCTGTTCAAGGTGTTTTAGTCATGACAAAATGGAGCAAGATAGGAAATTTATATTTTATATCAAGTAGTACAATGACAAATGATGCAGCGGTGTCTACATCAAGAGATATTGATTCACTCTCTAATCATCTATGGTATATGAGTTTGGGCCATATAAGTGAGAGAAGATCGTAAGTATTAAGTAAACGAGGCATGTTTGGTGGCATCAAGACAACCAAGTTAGGTTTCTGCGAACATTGTGTCTTTGGCAAGCAGTGCAAGGTAAAGTTTAGCACAACTATCTAACGCACTAAAGGCACTCTTGACTCCATCCATTTGGATGTTTAGGGTCCTTCAAAGGTAGTCTCAAAAGGGAGATCTAGATATTTTGTTACCTTTATTGACAACTTCTCCTGCAAAGTATGGGTACACTTTCAAAAGATTAAGGATGAAATCTTTGAAATATTTAGGAAGTGGAAGGCCATGGTTGAGTTGCAAACTGACATGACGGTCAAGAGGTTAAAAATCGACAATTGTGGTGAGTACACGTACAAAGCATTCTTGAAATTCTGTGGAGATGAAGGTATTGCTAGACACTTCTTGGTCAAGGGAAA